TTAGTTTTAATTAATACGAGTAACCCACATGTAAAGAAGCTCGGGATTGAGATGAGTGACTACACTCTTACATGTGATAAATAAAAAGGGAATTTATCAATGCCTCATTTTAACAAAGTAGAGATTTCAAATTTGTGTTGAGTTAACTACATATAGCAAAGTTGTATTTAAGTTAACAAGATTCAAGAAATATATGGATCCCATAGCTTTGCTTCATCCTTTACATAGACGCATATTAGTAATGTACAATGTTTGTGCGTGTCCATACACAAAACATTAGGGAAGGGTGGGAGCAAAATAGCTTAAGGGTACCATATCCTAATTCAACCCACATACCATCACATCCCTAGAGGTTGTTATTTACAGCATAAGGTAATGCAAATAGAGCACTTTGCTTTGGTATGTGGGGTTTTGGAAGGAGGGGTTTCCCTTCTGCATCTTTGGTTTGGTAAAATGGCACTTGGACTCCCAATGCTTTCTTCTCCCCCTAGAGATGTATTCCACAGTCTTCAGGGTAGATATTGATCAACAAACAATGAGAGATTCAAGGAATAACATTCCATAAGACAAATTTATTGTTCTTGGTCTGCCAAAGTGTAAATATTGTACATAGATCCAATGCACAAAAGATCACACAATAAGGTCTCTATTCGTTTTCACAATAATAATAGTAATATGGAATTGCATCATAATTGCAAATAAAAACAGGGTAAGAGCAAATTTTAGATCTTGTCAATATCTTCATCCTCAAATTGAATGTAATCTTCAACTTCTTCAGTGTCTTCTTCTCCAGCACCTGCAATTCCTTCATTCACCCTAATATTCTCAGGCAACTCTCCATATGCCTTCAGTAACCTGGCCTCATCTGACATGTACTTGAGAATCACATCAGCCTTATCATCCTGCACCATATTACACCCAATATTAACAAATTGTCGGAATACGTTCTTATGTTTGGTTTTACATTGACAAATGTGAAGAACAACAAAATATGGTTAGGTTTTTATACCTTTAAAATATAGTTAGACTTATAAGTCTTAAATAAATAAATTATCAGCAAGAATAATAATAATAACAACCTAAACCCGGCTTGTATGATCCCACAAGTAAAGATGATGCTTCCAAATGCTCAAGAAGGAACAAAAGAAGAAACAAACAAAAGGAACATGGACAAATATATAAATAGTAAGAGTATCAACAAAGAATGCATTCATAGTTGTTTAATCTGTCTTCAAGCTATTGAAAACAGTGTGTAATATAAAGAATGCAGCTCATACTAAGAAAATGATATCATTTTGAGCAGTGGCTCGCCAAACTAGCAGGGGCAAATCCAAAATTAAAATCAAACTATTTGGAGCTCTTGACAGAAAGAGGGGAACTCAAAAGGATATCCACTTAAGTCTATTACAAATACAAATATCATTTCAACTAGCTAAACTAGATTCTAAATTCTACTTATGTCCAACATGCTTTGTATGCACAACCTTCACAATTTTCTAGTATAGGTTTTCCCTCCCCCAGGAAATTGGTAGTATTCTCTACCACTATTGAATCAGACTAGGGAGTTACAATTCAGCAATAGAAAAGAAATCAAAAGTGCATGATTTAGTATATAGACAATTGAGGTACATGCATACGAGTCACACGTACCAGCTAAAACCCTAACCCAATTTTTTATTATAAAAAAATGGATAAAACATTCCAATACACACTCCAATAATACTTTTTGGGAAAAATCAATTACACCACGTTTGTTCAGCCTGTGTACAAACTTCAAACAACAAATACACACAAGCAAACAGTAGTTGTGTTTTACTACAGCTTCTTTGTTTACTCTTATAGTAGATCAGCATATGCATATCATTTTGAACTATAATTTTTCACCCTTGAAAAAGCATGCAGTTATGGATTTTCTAATTTCGTGGCAAACAGGAAACGAATCAACAGTAGCCTTACAATTTATACAGCGGCTGAATGCAGAAAAAAGATAATTATTTCCGACGCTTGAAAAAGGGGCTGAGATCAGAAATCAAAGCAACGCATTTAATAAAAACTGAGGCTTGCCTGATAATCGCGGAGGCCAACGAGGATGATGTCTCCGGCGGCGATCCAGACCTTCTTGTGCATCTTACCACGGATGTGACAGAGACGCTTGGTTCCATCGATGCACATGGCCTCACAGCGGCCGTTTCCGAGCATACGCATAACCTGAGCGTACTCCTGGCCGTCCTCTTTGAACACAAGCTCCCTTTTCTCGTCGTCCGCCTCGTTCTTTCCCCTCTTCCTGTTCTTACCTCCCTTTCCCTTGTTCTTCGGCATGACGGCTTCTGATCCTACGAAACCCCAACCCTAATTCGATGGCAAGTGCAGGTGAGATCGAAATCGGAAAACAAAGGACAAACCCTAGGTTAGAGAAGCGATATTAGATCTTGATATGAAAGAGCTTTCCAGACTTTATATAGTACGGCCTACGCGTGGACACCGGAATGAAGACTATTCCCTTTATCAAAAAAATTAGAATAAAATTAAGATACAAATGGAATATCCATTTTAGTGTACCTCTAGCATGAGCCTAATTCAAAATATTTCTTTGTATTGTGGTGTACCTCTCTCGGTCTTAACTCAAAGAACCGTGTTACACACTCCTATCTTTACTACCAACCTTGCCTCCACCCACTTCTCCACCACATATTTATTTCTACTCATTCTCCACCCATCCTCTAATTTTAATTTTTTTGCCTCCCTACCACATGTTTATGTAGGGGGACATGGTTGGTAGCAATGGTGGGGGGTTTAACATTTTCCTAACTCAAAACATTCCTTTTCAATGAGTTTTTTTTAAATTAATCTTTAATAACTTTTAATTATGTGCATTATACTTTATAATTAAAATTTATTTCTTAAATAATCCTTCGTAAAAAATATTATTTAAATAAAAATTATTCAAAAGATAGTTTGATATTTTCATTGTCTTAACTTAAAATAACTTCTCAACATATTAATTTCGATGTAATTTCATGTAAAATTTAAACAATGATTGACTATGTAAAATTCATAATTATTTTATTTTTCGTGCAAACATAAATCATAGTTATTGAAAAATGTCAAAATGTTTCAAAATTTAAATCAAATATACCCCCTTAATTAGAAAATATTATTTTGAAAAAACACTTCATTTGAAACAATCATTTCGAGAACTTACCCTAAGTTCATATGATAAAAAGTTTTAAGATACCTCTATTTAGGAATGAGGGTATACTATATTCTTCAAAAAGACTAAAACATGATATTTATACCAAAATAAGTTTTGATAATGTGACATATTTATAATTTGGCATTAAATATATGTTCCATTCACATTTTTATGGATATTATGTGAAACTCCATCCGTCCAAATTTAAATCGTGAGTTGTATATTTGAAAATTAGTATGGAATTAAAAATAAAATTAATGTATTTAAAAACTACATAAAGATTTATAGAAAATAACATTTGACAATACTATATTATTTTATCAAATTAGTGGCGAAAGCGAGTAAAGAATGTGGTTAGGGGTGAGCATGAGACGGTATGCTACGGTATTTAGCTCGTGCTGATACCGTATCAAATATTTCGATCCGGTATGAGATTTTGCACCGTATTGATTTCGATCCTAAAATCTTGGTTCAAATAGTTCAGTATCGATTTTGATACAAATCGGTAATCGGTATAAGTATATATATACCTAATTTATAATTTAAGATGTAACAAAACCCTTTATTTTTCTATAATAGAAAATGCATTTAAATAAAAAAACATAATAATAATAATAATAATAATAATAATAATAATAATAATAATTAAGTTCAAGAAAGACTTGTGAAAGTTAGTTTATATTTCACAAACTAAATAAAATGATTGATAACAAAATAGTAATCTAAATATTTGTTAATAATTTTAATTCATCAACATAAACTTAAAACTCGAATAAAAGAACAATATACCCATAATAAAATTTGAACCCAAATTTTAAATAAACTTATTATTTAATGAATAACTATAAAAAAAAATATTGTATTTATAATATTTTAGTATATATATCTTCTGTTCAAGAATCTCGGAGAAGAAATTACATCGTACCGTTCCCAAATACCGAACTGAACGTTCGATTCAGTATGGTTTGGTTTCTTCGGTTCGATTTTTCATGTTTTTCGGGAATTTTCAAGTTTGGTTTGGTGCATGTTCATCCCTAAATGTGGTTATAGTTGGACTCTGAGTAGTATAAACAACTTAAATTGAGATAGAAGAAATGTTATTTATTATTTTAAGTGTCACTTGAATATTTCTCTTTTTTTAAAATACTTTTTCCTCTCACACTAATGTAAGAATGTGGCGTACTCTAGAAAAGTACTTCAGACTATTTTTAATTTTCTGGTTAGAATTTTTAAGCCTTACATTATGTGAAATATACTTTGTAGTATCCTCAAATTCTCCTAAAGACTCTCGAGCCACACATTATCCAAAAAATACTTTGTAGTTTTTAAAATTTGTAATATTATACTACGAGGACACATTTCATTTATTTGAGCGTTAAGTTTGAAAGTTTTGTTATTCTGACAAATTGAAAGATTTTATTAAAATTTAATAAAGGAATGATTATCAAGATAAAATTTAATATTTTTCCAAGTAATAGAACCAATATCCCCAACCAATGTCCAATATGCCCATCCAATGTCCACCCCACTGTCTTGAAAAAAAGTCACATTTTAGAAGTTTTTTTGGGTTTAGAAGTATTATTATTAGAAATATTTGCACTAAATAGCACTAAGACTTAAGTCATTTCTCTAAATAGCACTTAGATTATTTTCTTCTCTAAATAGCACTCTATAATGTCCATAATGACCAGTGATGGCAAACATTCATTTGAATAATGACTAATGAATAATTACTAAAAGTGCTACATTGAGAAAAAAAACATATGTAGTGCTATTTAGGGAAAGTCATTATATTTTAGTACTATTTAGGTAAATTCCCTTATTATTATGCTAAAAAAGCAGCTTATTTCCATTTAACACAACTAATAATCTGTTTTCAAGGGTATAGAACTAATAGAAGTATTCAAGTTTTCTCTTTAAATTCTACAACACATCTCAAATTAGGCATCAACAAGTTTTTGTTACCCAAAAAAATGAAAGAAGAAATCACTCAGACTGTGATAGGATAGGATAGGACGGCCCGATTAGGCTATGACCCATTTAGAGGCCCAGATTGTAGAGCGAGTGGGCCGGGCATCAGGGAATCTTGTCAAGAGATCCAGCCCAATCAGCAACCCTCAGCATGTTGTGATCCAATGGACAGAAACTGAACCTCCTCTGCGTCAGCAGTCCACAGAGCAGTCCTCCGCCGCCGGCTTCGAGCACCTTCTTTCCCGTCTTCTCCGTCGATGCGAAATAGTGGTTCGACTCGTTCCCGTTGGATGAACTAGACGAAGAAGAGAGGTCGCGTGACAGCACGGTGGACGATTTCTGGCTCCGCTTAGGCCCGGCGTCGCTCATTCGGCGGCGACGGCGGAGGAGGGCTTCCTTTCTCGCCATCAAGTCGCGGAACGAAATTGCGGACACTCCTTTCATCATCGCGCGATCGGATTTGGTAGCTCTGTAGAGAGAGACGCCGATGTTGAGGACGCCGTGGAAACTGCCAGAGGGGCGTTGTATCTGGACGGGGATGCAGGCCGGAGTCCCGGCGGATTCATTGACAGAGTCACGGCGGCTACTGAGGACGAAACGAACGGTGCCGAGGAGAACGTCTTTGATGCAGGCGACGGAGTAGATCTCGAAGGAGACTCCAGATGTTTCACTGGAGACGAAATCGGATGAGATCCGGAAGAGAAACTTGTCGTTCCAGGTAGGGTTTTCGCCGCCGATTCGATCGAGTCCGGTTCTGAGCTTGGCGGAGGAGTCGACCCAGGCGAGAACGTAGGTCTGCATCCGGCGGAGGTTAGCGGGAGGCGCCTTCAGACCTTGAGCGGAGATCAGGTTAATCTCAAGGATGTATGTCTCCTCCTCCATTGTCGTCGTCCTCGTCGTCTACCTCTGTCTGTTGAGGGGAATTCACAGCATATTTCTGGGCGGCGGTAGATATAACTCAGCAAGAAATGAAAGAATCAAAGGGAATCGATGCGAAACAGAACTCAAGAAAGGGCAGAAATATGTCAAGAAAGGGAAGATGGGAGCTTTGCGATGGAAGGAAAGGCTGCCCCGCCCGCCCGCCCCGCTCTCTTCTCTCTTCTCTTCTCTTCTCGAAGAAGACGAGAGGAAGAGCACAGCAGCATACAAATGGTTTTGCCCAACCGCCGCCCGGCCCTTTTAACCGTCAACGATATTTTAGACGATTAATTTAATTAATTGGTTCATTCCCGTTTGACAGCTGGACCGAACCTGTTTACCTTTTTCTTTTCCCTTTTTTTTCTTCATAAAAAAATACGGAATACTCCGTACCTTTTCAAATTTAAAGAGGCAAATCATTTGGTTAAATTTTGTCAATTTTAATCCCAAAGAAAAAAAAACAAAACAAGTATTCAAGAGTACAAAAGTATTACTGAGTACAATATTTCTATATACAAAGCAAATGTGGTGGAAATGAACAGTGCTATTTTTCCCGCCGAAATGAACTGTGTTTCCGAGTTGGGCCTATCAAGTAGGCTTGCAAGTGGAAGTGGAGCTTTATGGGGTAATGTGATAATAATTACCTAAACTTGATTAGTGTGTACATTGAACCATGTAAAATGGGAAAGAGAAAAAGCATTTTATTGAGCCACGTAAAATTAATTGTGAAACATTGGAGAGTGTGTAATCTATTTTTCTATTTTAAGAGAACATCCTTTAATATAAAAGCAAGACCATCTCCCCTTTTAATAACCAAAACAAGCTTGCCGATTCTAGATTTAAAAAAATGTCTTCTATCGCAGTTTCATCCGGGATGTGGACCAAGCTTGCCGATATTGATAGAGATCGAAGCTCGATGGCCATTCATGTGAGAGCAATCCATGTGTACGAAATAAGTTCATTTGGTAGAATTAACGAATCAATGGAGGTGATTTTCCATGATGATCATGTATGTTGGTTGCTTCAATTCCATTACTTTTCATTAAGAAATAATTCTTATTTTATCTTTGGTGGTATAGTATACAATAAAGTATAATTCATAAATCAGTTATTATGTTAATATTTGCATCCATCAATGACATTAAAAATTGATTACTGCATTGGTAAATCTCATTTGCCCGAAATTTTAAAATTTGCATTAAAAAAATTATTTATTTAATGGTTCTTAACTTGGTTGAATTTAATAATAAGTATTAGGAAAGTAGAATAATTATGAACTCCTACCACGAGAAAAGACTACAAATAATACTCTTAAATAATTACTCCCTATTAAAAATAAGTACTTTATTGTCTAGCCATATGAACTCCTAGAGCCATAAGAAAATCTTTTGATAAATCTTACAAGTACTTTAATGCCTAAAGACACTAAAAACATAAGAACAATGAATTGTGCAAGTAATTGACTACGTTGAGCCACGTAAAAGGTAAGAAATTATGCCAACCAAAAAAACTACTCTATGAACCATAGTGCCTTTAATTTAACTTTGTACCGAAAATATGCACGTTTCAGTCTAAAAAAAATTATTTACTTTCTGTATTTGAATTTTTTTTATTTAAATTTCCATGTTGGTCAAATTTGTTAAATAAAAAATTAAGTATTTGAAATAATATAAAATATTTTTCAAAAATTAAAGTTAAACGTGTAATAGATTTCATGCCTAGAGCCACGAAAAAGTATAATAATTATGGCCTCTATATTGAGATGCAAACCGAAAAGACAATTCATCACCCTTTAAAATATTATTTGAAATAGGATGAATCTACTAGCAAAAGATTTTGATATGCGCAAGTAATTGATTACATTGAGCAACGTAAAAGGTAAGAAATTATAGAAAACCGAAAAGACTACTTTATGAACCATAGTGCCTTTAATTTAACTTTGTACCGAAAATATGCATGTTTCAGTCTAAAAAAATTATTTACTTTCTGTATTCGATTTTTTTTATTTAAATTTTCATGTTGGTCAAATTTGTTAAATTAAAAATTAAGTATTTGAAATAATAAAAAATATTTTTCAAAAACTAAAGTTAAACGTGTAATAGATTTTATGCCTAGAGCCACGAAAAAGTACCACAATTATGGCCTCTATATTGAGATGCCAACCGAAAAGACTACTCTATGAACCCTTAATCAATGCAAGCGTATTAATGAGATCTTAACATTGAGCCACGAAAAAGTATACCAATTGTGCATTTCGTCTCGACAAACGAAGTGAAAAGACAAGTCATAAAACCATTAGGTAATGCTTTACTTCAAAATATCTTGCATTAAATGCACCACCCAAGACTCCATTGCGCTTATATCAAGGAAAGAGTACATACATTTCGAAATTAATATTTAAAATAAAAACTTTAAAGAAATTAGAAATTCATTTTTGTTGTTATAAGAGCATACATCTCTGATGTCAAAAGGGTTTCAATTAAAAGAGTAAATTTTATTGGCTACAAAGAATCTTTAAGACTTATTGAAAATCTTATATTTTATTCTTTTGAAACATCTTCAAATTAGTACATATTATAAGTATAATTCTCAAAAATTCAATTCTAATGAAAAAGGAAGATGTTAGATTTTTTCATTCAGATTCTGGAGTATATTTTTTTACGGAAGAGAAGGAAACCAAGTTTCTTAAATTTGGAACAAAAATCTGCTGTGTTTATAGAAAAAATAAACATTTATAGAAAAAGAAGTTTGGATGCATAATTTTATAGGTACAAAAATTGCTAACAATTTCAGAAGTTGGGATATGTACTTTTAATAAATCAAAAAGTAGACAATTTTTCTGGAGATCTAATTTTATACACACAAAAATTGTTTTCTCTAACTGCAAATTAAAAAGTTTTTAAAAAACAAGTTGTGAATAACAGAATACAACAAATCTATATAAAAAAGGTAGATCTTTTAGTTTAATATTCAAAAAAATGATTCTAACAAATCTTTAAGAAAAATAGGCATGCATTAGATAAATGAATAAGATTTCTTCATCTTATTCCATCCGATCTTTGACAAAAAAATTATTAATAAATTCTAAAAATACCTTTTGACATTTAAATCTGGAGAAATCCCCGAATGTGCTCTACAAACCATAATTCGATTGCGATCATTCAGAGAAAATTCAGAGGAAGAATTGAATTTCTTCAGCCAGGCATCAGTAGAGAGATGAGCGAGAAGAGTGATGACGACAATGGTGGTAATCGACAATGGATATGGTTGAAAGGAGGGGGGGTTAAGGTTATTTCTTTTGGGTTGGACAATATTCCGAATTTGGGCTGGATTATTATATATGCGCTGTACCCAATTTAATTAAAAAAAATTCTGAATTGGGTTTTAAGTTGTGGGCTGGGCAGTTATACTTACACTAATTTTAATTTTCACGTTAAAATGAATTTCTATGCTTTTTTTAAATTTTTCAAAGGAAGCACTTCTCGATTATGACGTCATATGCAATGACCATTAATAAAAGTCAAGGCCAGTCATTGAAGCATGTGGGATTACTTCTAAAAACACCAGTGTTTAGTCATGGACAACTTTATGTTGCTGTTTCTCGAGCAACGAATCGTCGTGGTTTAAAAGTGTTAATTTGCAAGGACGATGTAGCCGTTGTGAATACCACATCAAATGTTGTTTACAAAGAAGTTTTTCAAAACCTTTAATTTTTTCTAATATGTACTTTTCTAACAACATTCCGCAATTTTGTTTTGTTATGTTTGAAATATTTACAATATCATCAAATACTTTAATTATTAGCTCTCTTTTTCTAATTTAGGTAAAATTATCACATTATTACACTTTTTCAAATTACTAGCCGTGCAACGCACGGGTACGGAACTAGTTTACAACAAATATAATGTCAAGAAGCCAATTCACTAACACTCAAACAGTCAAACATGTAGATTTTACACCAACCAACCTAAAACTATCTTTCTATTTATTATTTATTTCATCAAATTTTATCTATTTTGTTAGTGATTTTTGTTACTTGTTTGATAAAAAATATAATTAATTTCATAAATATTCTGATATAATTTTTAAATATATAAATTCTTTTCTTTGAGTTGCACATCAGTTTTCTCGTAAACTGAATTAAAAATAACTTCAACCAACTTCGTAAAGCACAATGAAATATTAATTTTAAGACGATAGAGTACATTTTTAGTTTTTTACTTCGTATATTCTAATTCATTATCCCTTAATCTCTTATACAAGTTATATTTGTTTTGATTCTGTGGAGACTCTAAATCTTAAAAAACGCAGAAAATTAGGAAATTGAATACAATTTGTTTGTTCATTACGATCCATTGATTCAACTTTTATTTGTGGAATTGAATTTTAGTGTACACCAAAACATGGTCTAATGTAAATTTAATAACAAACATCCTAATAAGCCAACACAAAATTGCAAAGATTTGAAGTGGTATGAAGAAAATGTCCATTCTTTTTTGTGTGTGTGCCCTTGATTATGGCTATTATTGCCTCCGGCAAATAGTAACTACAGTATACGTCCATATTTTCTCTCATTTTTTAATAAAACTTTATATTTGGGGGGGGGGGGGGGNCTCAAGTAATGGACAATTAATTCACATTGGAACTCTAGCTAGATTGACAAAGCTTCAGATATCTTCGTTTCCATTTTTGGCTTTCGCACTTTTGCCTTCTTCTTTCGCCTAGACAATAATCTCTTCTCCAGCTGGGTGACTCTAACAGAGAGAGCGTTTATGGCCGCCAGCTGCTCCTTTCCGGCTTCGATCAATCCCTCCATCACCTTCCTCAACTCCTCCTCCTCCATTACTACTACCTTCCCATCCCCACCATCTGTGGCGTCTGAATCTCCACACCCCTCAACCTCAATAACATTCTCATCACAGACTCTCTTTTCATCATCTTCCGGTTCTTCTTCTCTAGGCAGCTTTGGAACACTCGCGTCTTCTACTGCATATTCAGAAGTGGTATCAAGTATCACCTTGTTCTCCTCGACATGGTTCTCCCTCGAGCTTTCCACTGCAACCTGTTTATCCTCTGATAAATCTTGTGGCAATCCTCCAACATCATCCACCGTTGTTGTCGCCTCCCTGCAAATTCTTGATTCTTCATTATCAAGCACCTCACAAGGTTGAGTTTGTGCTGCCACCTGCTCTACACTATTCAAGATCTTATCTTGTGCTGGGATTTCCCCAATCTCCTTCAACAAGGTAGACACTTGCAATGGCTCTGGGAGACCATTACTGATGTCTGTGCTCTCCGCATCCCAATTGGTCGGCTCCAATATATCCTTGGCTTCTAATAACTCTTTGGAACAAGGTGGCTGAGTACCAGCAAATGCATCATCTACTTGGTCATCAATCCCTTGTCCATCATTCTCCTGCAAACATTCCGTTGGATGTGGCAGGTCTTCACATCGATCCATTGTGTTCGTGGGACCTTGCACGTCCATAGCATTCCCATCTTCCTTCATAGTATCATCCGCTGCTATAGGCTGCTCAGGTTCAGGAACTGCTTCTACTTGTAAACTTCCGTTATCCAGCTTCTCCTGCAGACTTACCAGCTCTCTTGCAACCGATTTCCTAACGTCTTTGACAATCGGGTGTAGCCCCTACAAGAGATAAAGGTTGAAATCAGTAATGAGGAGAATTCAAATAAACATACCGATGATCATTTGATTGGATGATTTAGTTCATCATATAAGGAAACAAATTGAAATGGTTCTTAGTTAACTTCAGCTTATATACCTGAATCATATCCAGTTTCAGCAGAAGGCCCATTATTTTTTCTGTAATCACATTTTTCTGCTTGTCATCCACCGGTTTGTTTGAAGAGTCATACAAAGCCTGAATATCACTTCTTATCTCAGCCACTTTCTCTCTAATACTAACTATTTGCTTTAGCTTCTTCAGAGGCTCCCATTTACGCACTTCAAAAGCACGGTATGCAGATTGGATTTTTGTGGCCGCCTCATCTTCTGAGGGTAGACTTTTGATCTGTGTTCTCATCTGACCATTTGGGTTGTCACACTCAGAATTATCATCAGAGCCAGTTGTCATTTCTATCCAAGAAGGAGCTCCTTCAACTCCAAAACTGTCATTTTCGGTACAATTTTCACTTGCAGAAGAAACAGCACATCCAACATTCACATCCTTCCGTGCTTTCCCTTCAGATGTTCCTTCAACAGCCACTCCACTAGCGCCATCCCGGCATTCCACATTCACATTCCTGTGTGTATTCCCTTGGGCTGTCTCTTCGACAGCCACCCCACTTGTGCCATCCCAGCCTTTATTTTTACAAGTCTCTGCCCCATTCAAAGAGACAGGACATTTGTCTTTTGGGACAACATTTTGTTTTCCTTCAGCCCCAGAATGAGTTAGAGATCTTGAACTGCCATTGCATACTTTTTTTCTGGGAAATGGATCAACCCTTAGACAAACAGGAGGTAGCTTAGATGTCTTTTTTGAAGTCGATGCTTTTTTAGGTCCGTCCCCATCAAGTTTTCCGTCCCTGTTGTTAGTGTTGGGCTTTGTGGAAGCATTGGTGGATTTGTTGTTAGTGTCATGCTTTGTGGGATCCATGGTGGACTCCCCCTCAATCTTATTGGGAATGCACTTCACATCATTGTCTTCCAATTGCTTTACTGGAATGACCTTCGGAAAAGAAACTCCTTTGTGTACCATCTTCTCACCATTTCCAGGTACCCCCTTGTTTTTCATTGAGTCTAAGGCATTATCTTCCACCTTGGATGACCTACTCTGCTTGGACTCCATGTGAGGAGCCGATTCTATATCAGATTTTTGACAAAGATCAGTCCCTTGCCTTTCCATCTTTTGACTGTCCTCTGGTTGATCAGGCATCCAAATTATTGGAAATGGAAAGCGCATGCTATTAGCATCTGGCTTATGCTGGGTTTTCAACAAGTCTTCCCCTTTCTCCAATCCATCAGCAGACCTCTTAAAGAAATTCAGAGGCAGCCAGCCATTATAAGCATCACCGCACTCTTTTGTTTTCTCCCTGCAGCCATCACCACACGGGAACCACCCAACTGGATATGGTTCACTCTTGGCATTGAAAGGAACCATGGCTTCCGCATTTTTCTTGTCCAAACCCTCATCATGCTCCTCAATTTTCACAGCATTTGTCTCATTTGGCTTGCAATGATGGTTTGGGCAACCGCAACAGTGATATTCTGCCGGGAAATTCTTTCGAAAATCATAGCAAGGTCGATCCATAGAGACATAGGGTTGGGGCAAATAGCAAAAAGGATGTGATCCGGGAGGTGCATAGTGAAAAGGAGGAGGTGCAGTGTGGGGGGCATAAGTTGGTCCGAAAGCACAGTGACTAGGAGGTTGATAGCTATGGCCACAACAGCCATGGGGTTGTGGATATGCATAAAATGGACATGATTCATAGGGTTTGCCCGGATCGAGGTTTGGAGGAGGCCGGGAAATTTGAGCATTGGGATGGTAATAATAACGGTATGGGACATAGGGAATTTGATTCCTCTGGTAATGGTAGGAATCCATCACGAGCGGAATGAGCAATGGTCTTCCTGTTTCTGCCATAGAGGGAGAGAATGGAAAGAGAAAAAAACAATCATATATGGATCCCATAGCCTAGCAAGCTCTCAGAGATGCAAATTACTATATATACGGAAGCAATCTATATACCAATCTAAACAAATTGGTGCAGTAAGGTGCTGGAAATTCCTGTCATTTTACACCTTTAAGCATTTAGTTTCAATCTCTTATTCATTAATGAAATGAAAACTTGTAATCTCTCCTTGGCAATCAAAACTAACTTGGCGTGTTCACAGGTTAAACACCATCACTAACCGCCGCAATGATACATAGATCTAAACAACTTTAAAAACAGAACGGAAAATTGGCAATCCATTAACGAGGAAATGATAAATCAAAGTCGTTAACCGAAAAATGGAGGAACGATGTGTGGGGATTGAGTACTTACGATCGGTACTGTGAAGGCGAGTGAAAATCACGAAAAGATTGATTCAGTTGTCAGCTCAAATCGATCGACCACCAGATAACAAATAAGAAGAGGATGATGATGATGATGATTTTGTGGTGTTACTGTTTCTCAGATGATGAAGAAGAAGATTTGATGAGCGAGAGAGCCTTTCTGGTTTTTATATTTTCCCTCTGAAAGAATTGTGTAAGGACATTTTTGGTGAGGGTTGGTTTATAAGAGGCGGCACGTTGTGTCTACGGGCTTCCAAATGTTTCGCGGTTTTCTCAACGCTCCCTCCCTCTCCTTCCTAAACATCTATCAGTGGGCCCGTTCAAAAATGATGTGGCTTGATTCCAAAAAAATCTAGAAAATTCAGCATTTTTTTTATTCCAACGGTCATTTTGATCAAAATTTTAAAAACAATTAATTTAAAATATAGTAGCCTGAAATGCCTACCCAACTACCTTAGTGAATGCATAAACTTTAATTATTATTATATAATATACTACCTCCGTCCCAAATTATAATGTCTGTTTACTATTCACAGGGTCAAATTTTATTCACTTTCTTTCTCTATTTTCGTTAGCAATTTGATAAAATAAAATACTATTGTCACTACTAGTTTTGTAGATCTTTTGATGTAGTTTTTTAATATGTAATTTTTATTTTTTAATTCTATACCATTTGTCATATAAAATGGTGTGAAAAATAATTTCAGTCAAACATCGTAAATCAAAACAGACGTTATAAAATGGGACGGAGGGAGTAATAAACTTTTGATAATTTTCTACATGATATAAATAATAAGTTTTAAAATAACTTATATTTGATTGACAATCAAAGAACGTTTATCCAGAAATAAATATGAGTCGCAACATATAATGTGACCACAAACAGAAAATCCTCCTATATACAATGCTAGGTGCATTTTGGTGAACAATGTTCCCGCCAAAAGTAAGTGGTCCTTGGTTCGGGTTTGGGTCTGCATTGGTAGACGGATATAGGCCTGCATTGGTGGACGTGTTACACCTTTTTCTAAACATCAAATCTGCTTTTTGCTTTATGTCTATTCATTGCCGTCTTCCATAAAGTTGCATTGATAACCATGATTTAGTGGCTTCATAAAGTTAATTTTTAAAAAGCTTACTTTGTGTCAAATTCATCTATTTTAAAGATTTTTAATATCTAAAGCAATTAATGCATGGTTACATGTATCATGGAGCATGATTATAAATACTCTAGCATTATGATGTAAACTTCATTCATTTCAAATTCACTTCTCAAACATCCAAAAAAATAATCAAATGTCTCAAACGTCTTCTTTAAGCATGTGGTCTCCCGTTGGGGAGCTTGGCAACACTCGGCCGACTTTGATGTTCAAGTTACGGGCTGTGCGTGTGTATTTTGTTCCCGTTTGGACCAAAGGCTGAGATTCAATGGAGGTCGTTTTTCACGATGAACATGTATGACATTCCCAATTTTTTTGTGCTTAATCATAATTTATTTATTAACTATTTTTAATCTAAACTCTTTTTGTTTGTATAGGGCACAAGGATTCACGCGCATCTCAAAAAACCGGAAAAAAACGTTTTGAGAATCAAATTGTGGAGAATGGTGTTTATGGGATTCGGGATGTTTTTGTTCATGACAATTTCCAATCCGTCAAAACCACCTCAAATGAGAAACTTTTGGGTTTTTATGCAAAAACATGAATCAAAACATTGGATGGAAGCGATTTTCCATGTTTCATGTTTGATTTGAAATCTTTTGCGACGATTCAAAACCAACCGATTTTGAACGATCAAGTCTTGATTGGTACTAGATTATTTTTTAAACAAGTTATCAAAGTATCATAATATGCAAACGTTGTTGAAAGATCATTCATACACACAAACTCATCGAGAAAATCAATGCAGATGTGATTGAGAAAATTGTTGGCCAGTCAAAAGTTCAAACACACATGAGAATTCAGTCCTATTGAATTCTAACCTCAATACATTCCGTTATTTTTTAACTTTTATTTTTGGCCGTGCAACGCACGGGTTCGAGTCTAGTAAGTCACAACATCTTACTATATACAATGGTAAGATGTGGTTTTGAACAGTGTTCCCGCCCATTTGGGAGGACGGATTTGGGCCTGATTCTGCTGGGCCGGGTAAGGATCGGAGACATTAATTGGGCCTGTCAATTTAGGGGCTGTGCATTGAAGGAATAGAAAGCCTGCATAACAAGTACACTTTTACAGAGCAATAAGAATAAATTCCATAAAAGGCCTCCAGTTATAGGCCGTTTTACATATTTAGTTCCTACATATCAAATATTACTAATTTAGTCCCCAATTATTATATTCATTTCCACAAATGGTCCTTTGTTAACATTTCTGTTAAGAACGTGGATAAAATTGAAAATTCACACTCTTTTCTCTCATTAATTAAGCTTCCTTCGTCCCCTCGCACTCATTTTCCAAACCCGTCATTGAGTTTGAAGCTTTGAACCCAAAATTGAAATCACCACTTTTCTCTCAATTGTTTGTCTAATTGGTGGAACCCAAATTCGAAACCAGTAACCTTTATGGATGAGTTTTAATATTTATTTATTTACAATTTCTTGAGACTAACTGATAAAACTCATCCATAAAGCTTATTGGTTTTGATTTTAGGTTCCACCCGGAAGACTAAGAATTGAGAGGGGAATGATCATTTTAGTTTTGGACTTAGAGCTTCAAACTCAACGACGAGTTTGGGAAAGAGTACGAGAAGAGGGAGGAAGCTTAATTGAGGAGAGAGAATTGTGAATATACAATTTTATCCATGTTCTTAACAAAAATGTTAACAAAGGACCATTCGTGGAAATGAATAAAATAATTGGAGACTAAATTAGTAATATTTGATATGTAGGGACTAAATATGTAAAACAACCTATAACTAGGGATCTTTTATGGAATTTAGTGAGCAATAATTATATTTTGAGCCCCGTGCGAAAAGAAAAGGCATGGCTGTGTGGAGAATCGTGTTCCCTGCGAAAAGATAAGGCATGGCTGCTATTCCCAAATATGCTGGTGTAGAGTAAATAAAAATTGCCGTGTTGGCCGAGCAAATCGTGGTAAGCTACTCACAATTAGGTCTCCTCTCTCAATTTCGTCGGCGTCTTGGCCGAGCAAATCGCGGTAAGCTACTCACAATTAGGTCTCCTCTCTCAATTTCGTCGGCGTCTTGGCCGAGCAAATCGCCGGCATCTTGACCGAGCAAATCGCGGTAAGCTACTCACAATTAGGTCTCCCCTCTCAATTTCGTCGGTGTCTTGGCCGGCAAATCGCCTGCGTCTTGGCCGAGCAAATCGCCGGTGTCTTGGCTGAGGAAATCGTCGGCGTCTTGGCCGAGCAGGTCGTCTCCTCTCTCAATTCCGAATGAAGATCTCGCAACGATTTATTAGGTTTGCTTTTAGCGATTCTCTCCCGCGATTCTCGCATCTCACACCGGGATTGAATCAAAGAGGGTCAAGAGGCGAAGGTGGATTCTAACGATTTCTTATCATCAGCTTCTTGGCCAAATATACGGACAAACTTTCAGACACAGCAAATGAGGCTTGGTTTTCAGTCGATGGATTACAACCGCCATAGATAACAAAGCTTCGAACGGAGACAAAAGAGGAGAGGCAGAAGAACCGTCCTTGCACGGCTGCTCTCATCACTCCCCTAAACTCAGGTTAGCCAACCATTCTTTTCTTATACGCCTTCTTCCAAAATTAAATTTCTAGGGATTAGTTTCTTCATTTCTTTGTGTTTGATATTTTTTCTACAATTTTTGCAGATTTTTTAGAAGCAAGGAATTTCATCTATTGTAACCATTTCTTTATTTTGTTGGAAAGAGATTTAGTATTCATGTGACTAATTAGTACTATGGTCTTGCAATTCGATATGTAATCTCATTGTACCCGACTACCAGTAAATGCATGTTGATCTTTCTCGCAATCAGTTTACATCTCTTTTATAAATTTTGAGTTTTGTTTTTTTGACGGTGCTGCAGGCTAAGTACCTTTGTTGCTGCGTTGCCTTCGGCGGTCGTGGCTGAAATTCAAAGCAAGAAGACTACAAATATTTTCAAGATTGGTTTTTTTCACTTTAATATTTGCCGCAGTTGTAGTTTTTCAAGTATGATTTTATCTAGCTAAACATGAATTATATTTTGATCTTAATTAAAATTGAATCTTAAATACAATCTGAATACTTAAAAATATTTGTAATCTTCAAAAAAATGGTCAAGTGATGGAAAAAACGAAAATAATATTTATGAGCCCAACATGCAGATTAAAAATGGTTCAGTGATGGAATAATATTTGTACTTAAATGCTTTATGTTTTATGTGTGCCTTTTGTTTCCTTCACTACATGTAAAAATTTACTTTAAAAAAGATGTGGAAATGTCAATAAACTTGATTTAATTAGAATTGACCACTGATTCTTTTTTTAAATGGCTATCTTTGGTTATGTGTTTATCTCTATGGCGTTGCAGATCACCATCACTAAAAGAAAACTTTTCCTATGGTGATGGGTGAAAGTAGAGTTCAAGTTTAATATTGATTTGGTCTTTTAAGTTTATTGGTATTTAATGTGGAGTTTTCGTGGTGATGCATGTTTTATGTTTTCGAGAATCGAGAAAAAGAAATGCGTGGCTCGAGGCAATCTTTATGTCTAATCAAATAAAAAAAGATTTAACAAATACATGCATTTAATGTGGAGAGTTGGTTACCCAGACTATATGTTATTTATAAAGGGAAGAAATGAACTGTGCTATCTTCTCACCTAAAGTTCCTGGGTACGATTTGGATATTAAGTTCGGGTATCGGATTGAACAAAGAAGAAAATTTCTCCGATTGGGCAGATGGGGTTTTGGTTGGGCTAATGGGTCTTTGGTACCCGTGAAGGCATTAAAAACATGTTTTGGGATATTTATTTTGACGTCTTGCATTTCACTTTAACCAAGATACTTTATTATCTAGAGTTTATAAATATTAAATAAAGCAATATAACTATAAATTACGAGTTTTCTTACCTAGAGTCTCGACTCTTCGTATCAATTAAATATTGGTAACGCAATAAACATTTAATGTATGTAATAGATGATATATATTGGAAAACGTGGGTATTGAGCCACGAAGTATTTAATGCAAATTGTGATGCTAATTAAAAAATATAGAATAATTCAAAAACATTTTTTGAAAATATACTAAATTTTCATGGCTCTATGACTTAAATATTTTGATTTAAAAGAAGAGAAGTGTCCTTCTGTTTTGATTTAAAACTAAATTTTTATTTAAAGAAAATGTATTGTTACCTAGAGCATATAAATTTTGATTAAAGCAATTAGTAATTGTAAACTACGAGTTGTCGTACATAGAGCCACGAACCAATCCAACGAATCAAACATTGGTTAATGAAATAAACATTTAATTGTGTTTGTAGTAAATTCAACTTATACGGACTTTCACAATATTGCGATTGATTCGACATCTTTGCAAAGTAGAACAATCTTGGCACAAACACTAGAAGTTGTGGATGAAATCAATGAGTACATAACATCATTGAACAAAACGGGAGAAGCTAGAGGTTACTTGAGTTCAGATGATGTGTGTAAATCTGATTCAAATTCAGATTTCTTAAGTGACATGCATTTTTCTGAATTTACAAATAACATTGTTATCCCGCGATTGTTACTTACGCTATCGGATACAAGAATTTCTTTTAAATTTCAAAGGAAACAGTTCCCGATTATGATTTCCTATGCTATGACAATTAATAAAAGTCAAGGACAATCATTGACGCATGTTAGGCTTTTACTAAAGAAATTTGTATTCAGTCATGGTCAGCTTTATGTGGTTTTATCACGAGTCACTACTCGCAAAGGATTAAAGATATTTTTTATGGTGAAGAACCTGCGACATCTAATAAAACTGCAAATGTAGTCTATAAAGAAATTTTTCAAAACTTATATTGTTATTCTATCACATTGTGCGTTGTTGTAAAACTCCTCTTCTTTAATATATATTACGTATCTTTGTTTGAAGCAAATTTTATGTTTTACTTCTATCAATGCTTCTCCTATTTATTTAGCTTTAACTTAGGCCGTGCAACGCACGGGTTCGAGTCTAGTATCTAAGTAGAAGTTTAAACATAATGTGAGATAATAAAAGAATACTCACTTCATTCACAATTAATTGACAATTATGACTTTTAATATACATCAAAAATTAAATTAATCAAGACATACGAGATATTTTTCTACGCTGGTGCTTATTGTCTAATTGTTAATAAGCAATTTTTAACTTATAAGTTACTTATAAGTCAAATATTTTTTCATGAAATTAAATAACTTAAATAAGAAATAAGTCACTTGAAAATATTCATAAATGATTAGGGATAATTTTGCAAACAATTTGGTCAAAATAAAAAAACGAAAAAACTAATTTTATTAATAAGTAGCTAAAACTTATTTATTTTTCTGACATATAAGCAACTTATAACTTAGCTTATTAACACATGTTATCAGCCGACTTATAAGCTAAAACTTCTTATAAGCAGTTTTGACCGGCTTATAATCATATAAAAACACCACATAATGTATATCAGTATTTATTATTTTTTATATATACTCAACATCTAATAACGAAAAAAACTGTTATAATAATTATAGAGTGTTGCTAAATTCATTTCCTAAATGACTTTGGCTCAATTCTCATTTCTACTTTTTCTTGGATAGATGTCAATACCGCTAAAGAAACAAAAAGACAAATGAATAAATGAATGTGTGTGTGTACCAGGCCCAGGCTATACTTTTTAGCCAATCCTTGTGACATGGAATCAATAACAATGCAAGTGAAAATTGAGGCAGGAGCTAATCTAATCTCATTCTATATATATCTTTAGACAGTGAGAGAACTGAATGCTGGCTGGCTGGCTGGCTGCTATAGCAGATGCTGTACAGAAGAAGAAGAAGCAGCAGCAGCTTCTTCTTCTTCTACTCTTCTTCTTGGGTTGAGTTTTTGGGAATTATAATAGTATGTTGCTGCTTCTCCTCCTCGGGCGGAGGCTTAACGTATTTCCCAATCACCTTTTGATGGGTCCGGTTCCTAATCCTGGAGATCTTATCCCTGCTCTGTTGCCTCCTCTTCTCCTTCTCCCTATTCCTCTGGTTCCTCTCTTTCTCCAACATTCCTTGCCACAACACTTCTCCAGTGGATGGCCATAGCCACCGCTTTTTGGGGGCATCATCACCACTATCGGACACCTCTGCCAGCTCTTCGTCCACCATCTTCACCGTGCTGTGCTGGAACCATTTCACCCACATTTTCCCTCTCCGTCCCTCCACCTTGTGCTGCTCTTCCATCACACCTGTCTTTGGGTCCACGTACACCATTCTTTTCCCGCTGTGGTATGCCCACACATTTATAAGCAACTCCAGTATCCTACTATAGCAATGCTTATCCTGCACGCGTACACTCATTAGTTATTTCATTAACAATTCATTATTCCCATATATATATACATAGAAATGTGGACCGAGTCCCAGAAAAACAAAGATTTTTTACCTTAGTTGCACTCAGGTAGCAATATCCACTTTGGTGATGCTCGTCGTAGTACTGTGAGTCAAGTGCATCCACAAACATTCTGGGAAAAATGATAAAAAGATGGCATCATATCATTGATCTAAATCACATCACTAGTCAGTGGTCTGAAATTAGGAAAGGGTATGGATGGATTGAGCCGAAAAAAGGATCTGGTAGAGCCCCATACCTTGAAAACATTACAAACTCAAGAAAGGATCTGGTTGGTAATGCCCAGCTATGCATCACTGACCATGTGTCTCCGTCGGATGGCATTTGAGGAAGGCAGCTTATATTTTGTTTAATTCCATACATCATCTTCATAGCCTCCAAGAAAGCAAACCTTCACCATATCAACAATTAACTCCTCACGTATTAAGCTCCAAGAAATAGAAAGCCCAACATGTCTTTTCTTTTCTTTTTTTGTTTTGTAGAGATGAAAGGGAAAATTTTTAACATGATGAATCTTACTTGCAGTGCCCTGCATTAATAGTATCACAGAATGACCAGAAGTTCAGTTTCTGTGGGTTTCTTGGATCCTTGTCCATAGAAGCCCAGAAGAATAAAGTGTCACCATATCTGCGTTCCTCAATTGCATCCAACAATGACGTTTCTGCCATCTTAGACAAGGCTTCCTGATTATGACAAACAGAGGCCATTTACGATGCATTAGCGAACCATGTGTCACCTTTGACTTGTATAAATTGATTGCTGATATATTCTCAAATTTTAAATAAATTTGAGCTGTTTTATGCAATATATTCTTACAATAAATTGTATCCCCTTCTCCAATATATATATACTCTTACACCACTATTAGGCACTAGTCAAACAGCTAGTTTATGATTTGGGTCACAAACAGTGTGCCTCATAAAAAGACTAACCAAAGAGAAGAATGGTGGTAGTCTTCCAGAGTTGGGAATGCACTTGGGCAATCATCAACTAACTTAAACTAAAACAGCATGAACAATGGAAAAAAAAACCTTTCTCGCTGTCAATCTCCAGGATTGGAAACCTATCCAGGCATTCTTGTGTATGCGATCAATCCGATTTGCAAGAGCAAAAAAGCCTCCAAATTCGCTAAGGATATCTCGGTAATAGCGGTTATTTAGCAGTGGAAGACGAGAGGGTGCATCAATGTCATCATGGCCGGGTCTCCGTCCTTTAGTAGACTACAGTTAGTGAGTCCACATAGTGATGTCAAATTGTTAGATATAGTGATAAACTATAAAAAAACAAATCATATTCAAAGGTCACTCACCAGTCCAAGTCCACGGTACAGTGACGTGTGTTGCAAAAATGGCCAGGTCCCTTCCCCATAGTAAGGTTCGTAAATGCACAACCTTTGACCTGTCCTTTCAAGCTCCCCATCATCCCTCTCATGCAAATCATTCCTCAATCGGTCAACTCTTTTGGCACTTTTATATACTTCCTCCCACGTTCCTCGATATTGAAACATTCTATCCTTCAACTGCCTCAAATACAAACATAAAAGTACATGAGTAAATTTAAGAACAATAAAATGAAAAGAAAAATAAAAGTTCCAAATCAAGCAGTCAAATTGCACTAGTAGAATGAGAAGAAACAAAAGGAACATCACTAACTTCATCATCTTCTCTTCTCTTCGCTCTATTTGTCATCTGCATATATTTTTCCTCCTCCCAAATACTATATACAAAGGTGTCATTCAATGCCACAGAACTATCCTCTTGGGTATGATTCAATTGGTTTTCAAGCTTGTTCAGTGACATATGGGACCTCCAAGTTCTATTTTTGAAATGATCAACATCAATTGCTCCTTCAAACAGATGCCACTGCCACTCTGATTTGAACTTGAGAGGAATCTTTGTCACGGACTGTATGTTTGCAGCTCCAGATGTATACCTGAGAACGTGTTCCAAAAGTGAAGCATACCCTTCAACACTCTCCAAAACCATAAGGTTCCTAGCTGTTTGCTTTCCAATAGATGCAGCATTTTGAGCAAGAAGTGACAGTTTACCATTTGAGACAATTTGTGAGATTATCTGAGGTAAAACTTTAATATTCTGTTTTGGATAGAGAAAGCCATTCACCCTGTCATCAACCTGAACAGTGTTTTGAGGCAGTCAGTCTCTAGATTTTTTTAAAACATGGTTAGAAAATACCACAAATTTGTCAGTAAGAAAGTTGAGTTTAAAACATACATTTTTCTTGATAATTGATATATTTGGGGCTACGACAGGTTTCCCAAAGCACATTGCTTTTAGCAAAGTGTTTGGAAATGATTGCTCTTCACGGAATGAAGCATATATCACCACATCAGCGATACTTAAGATACTTTCTGTGTCTTCACCTGGAGCAAAATGCTTCACCATTCCAGTCGGGTATTTCAAGTTCAATGCAATTGTCTGCATTTAAGTTTACAGTTAGCAAGCGGGCAAGAACAACAGCAACAAGCTAAGCATCAAAGAATCCTTCATAAAAACCAACGGTCATGCTTTATTAATGGATTTTAAATGCAGAATAAAATTGTACTCCCTCCGTCCACAAATAAACTTTACGTTCACTATTCACAGGGTCAAACTTTATTCACTTTGTTGGTCTATTTTCGTCACCCATTTGATAAAATAATATAGTCATGTCACCTCTACTTTTGTAGACCTTTTGATATAGTTTTTTAATATGTAATTTTTATTTTTCAATTCTACACCATTTTTCATATAAAATGATTTGAAAATAACTTCAGTCAAACATCGTAACGCGCAATGTAAAGTTTATTTGTGGACGGAGGGAGTATAATAATAAGAATAATAAATAGAAAGGAAATATGTAGCTTTACCTCCACAGCCATAGTGTAATTACTATTTGATCCTCCAGCTAAAACAATAACTTTGAAATGAGATTTAGAACTCCCATCATTTTCCATGTGAAGTAAGATTGGCTGCAGAGACTGTAAAATGAGGGCTTGCTCAAGCCACAGACCTTTGTATAGAAGTTGGCTTCCTAAAATTACAATAATGAAGTCTTCTGACCCATAGCCCATCTTAGCACGATAACTATCTGTGTTTGATGCCAGAAAATTAGCAGCTTCCCATACTTCACTAGTAGATCCCGGAATCACAAAGTAGTTTCCAGTATCACAGGTTGAGTATAATATCTAAATAAATAGCCAAACACAATTGAGTATTAGCTGCCAATTGAATACTAGACACACACAGACATTGATTTTACTTGCAGTATCCGTGCAAAAAACTTGATAACGCAAACAGCAGCTCAATGAACTTCAAGTGTACATAACAATCATATACAAGTATGAATGTTTATTACACTTCAAACATTTTCCATTCATAACAATATCTATATCCGCTCAAGTTGGACTCATGTTTTTTAACATGGCTTAGGTACCAAAAATGTCCATATTTCAGCACGATAGCATACTTGCAACATTGAGTTTAGCTTTGCCCATGATACAATCACAGAAAAACCCAAAATATACAAGATAATGTGATTATTTTCTATAGAATTATACCGGCAGAATATAATTTGGGAACACAACAGCATCGGCACGGATGAATACTTTTCTCCAATGGTCAACAAGCATGTTCTGGCCACCAGGCTTATACTGTCTCAAGTGAGAAGCAAGCACATGTTCCTGGATAGTCCATATAACAGGTACATTCTTAAAAGGTTCCTGCATCAGGCTGTAACAACTAACAAGTATAAATGGGAGAAGGACATTGAAATTCTTAAAATGTAAAAGTATGTTACATTTACACTTCCAGATGTATGTGATTTTAACTTAAGTGACACAGACCACATTAGGAGCTGATGCTTACCAAGATAATACTCTGGCAACTTCAAGTGAGCTCAAAAGTAAGGCATCATAGCTGAAAAAGGCATGCAAGAAAGTTTAGATAAGAAAGTCCACTACATGTTGTACTCTTGATATATGACAGTATTGGGTGAAACTGTTAAAAGAACCTAGAAAGCCATGTAGGTAAAAGCTATATAAAATACGGAGTAGCTACAAAGTACAAGGCTGGTTGGTAAATACAAAAATGCAGCCACTTAGCTTAGTAAAAGGCAAAGAGCAGAAAGGATTGGATAAATAAGAATTTGGAACGTCCAAAACACTAAACTTGGTAAAACAAATCATAAAATGCGAGAGCATACGAAAGCCAATCTACGTAGATAGTCTTCACATTCTCATCAGTTTCTATAGTGCTAACTGGAAGTCCCGCATCTCGCCATACAGCACGCACAGGACCATCTTCAAGTGTAAGCACCTAAAAGTTAAAGACATATAATGTTGAGACAGGCAGAAATGTAGGGCACTCAAACCGTTCTCGATTTTTCCAAATCTATGGAATATATATTGGAGAAAGCCACAATTGTTGTGTTTAAAGAAACACTTCATTAACTCTCTAGAAGATCTATGAGTAAAATAGTTGGCTATCATGGAAAATGAAAAACGCACACTTAGAAAATCAATCGTGGCAAACTTCAGGGCAGTGTATGTTCTTGTAGTAAAAGTTTGAAAAACAAGAGAGTAATGCCATGATAAGTACCTCGACCTCGTAGCCTATCTCCTTCAAAGACAACGCAATGTTAAGCATCATTACTTGATATGGATCAGCCAGCATATTAGCAAAAACCTACAAGATTTTTGGAAAGAATAAAACCACTAACAGAAGACAACCAGAACAGCTCTTGGCTGAAAAATATGGATACTCACCAATCCGAGTTTGGGTTTGGGGTAGGGAATCCCCATTGCTCTCCTAGACTCAGCAGTGGCATTGAACCTGGCTAAAATCTTGGAAGGCTCGAACTTCAAATCTTCCCCGAAATCCAAAGCGCCCAGGTCTTTCAAGAACTCCAAATCCCCAGACCCAACTCCACTGCCACTTGAGAAATTTTGGGATTTTTCAACCAAGAAACCAGGCAGAAGCATCTGGAGCAGCAAGACAAAGAAGAAGAACACCCCCACGGTGCAAATCCACTGGAGATAGTCAATCTTCTTGAACAGAAGTGCCCTCGTGCATCTCGATCTGAGCCTCTGAAGCCTGCTGTTGCTTGCTCCAGAAGAAGACGATGACGATGAGGATGAGCGAAGCATGAAATGGCGGTGCGGATCTTTCTGGAATGGAACCCCAGTTTCAAGAGAACCCATTTTATCCGCCCATCAAATGAATTTCTCTTACAAGAATCTATTGGACTTCCCAATGACGAACGGAGGAAAAATGTCAAGAAAGAATATTGAACTTTCTTTTAGCTCGTGATATTTGGAGTAACTTTTTTTTTTTTTTTTGCGGAGCATTTTAAAAAAAATACTCCGTATATATATATATATTTGATAAAACTAAATAAAGAAACAGCAGCTCTCGAACTGGAGCAAGTCCCAGCGTAATCAGCGCAGAATGAATACGATTAGCGAAGTCTGGTGAGGGTGTGGCGGTCAACGATGCGTTGACCACCTTCTTTTCTTTTTCTTGTTTTTAGAACACACCACCTTCCTTTTTTAAAATGGAGTCCGAAACTCCGAATTAGTTTTATTTTCATCGAGAAAGAAAAGCTAAATTCAAATGGTTTGATTGGTTTCTGCCTTTTTCATACCTTTATTTCCCTTTTTTCCATTAATTACTCTCTCATCTCATATAAAACTTCTCAAATTGGCATTTTTTAATTTTTGAAATAATATGAAATTTATTTTAAAACTCTTTAAAAAAAGTGTGCGAACTACATAAGGAAGTAAATTAGATTAGTTAGGTGTAAAAGCGCTGGAAATAATCTTGAAACCTCAGGGGTCCAAAATTTCTTTCTCTGATAGTTTTAATTTACTTCACAATTTCACTGAAAATGGGTTTAAAGCCTTGGAGCTTCAAACCTTTATTTTTTATATTTTTTAATACACATTTTATAAAACTAAAATAATAAAACTTCATTGATTAATTAAATTTAAATAATAATAATTCATTAAATAAAAATTTACATTAAAAAAGAACATTTAATAAAAAATAAATTAATAAAAAAAATAAGACAAATTATATTTGACTTTGATCTCTTTTTGTCTTCTCTCGTAAAACATACATTTGAAGCTCGTTAACATATCAAGATAAGTTTTCATTATTTCGACATCTTCCTTCTCTTGTCTTCGATTCTCCCTCTCTTCTTCCTTAATATTGAACCCACGCAGTTGTTCAATCATTGCCCGGTCGACATCATCGTGAGAGAAAACAGAGTCGGACCCTGCAGAATCTGATGCAATGGATTTTGCCTTCTTTCTTCTCATCGGCCGTGAAATGAGGTCTTCGTCGTTAAATAATAATAATAATAATAGTAATAATAATAATAATATAACAACAATAATAATTTAAATAATAATATTAATTAAGACTTAGGTTTGTAGTTTTAAATAAAGTAATGTGATTTAATCAAATAATAATAATTACTCCCTCCGTCCTATAATGTTCTTCCCAATTCATTTTACGAAGTTTGACCGACTTTATTTTCAATTCAATTTATTTGATTGTAGGTGTAAAATTAAAAAATAAAATTTATATATTTAAAAACTACATCAAAAGTTCTACAAAACAAGTGGTGACAAGATTATATTATTTTATCAAGTACCTAATGAAAATAGGTAAAGAAAGTGATAAAAGTTTGACCGTGTAAAAAGTGAGTGGGAAGAACATTATAGGACGGAGGGAGTATTATTTAATCCTTGAAAAATATAAATATTATTTTTTATATTTTTTCTTGATTTGATATTATTGAATTTCATCTGGTCTGATTTGATTGGATTTGGTATGATCTGAATCTGATCTGATTGGATCTGGTCTGATCTGAGGAGATCTGATCTGATTGAGCCTGATCTGATTGAATCTGATATGATCTTATCTGATCTGATTAGATCTGATCTGACCTAATCTGATTTTAATAAAAACTAGTTTTCTACCCCGTGCGAAGCACGGGCTAGGGTTGTATGCTAGTGTTTGCCTTTTTAGTTGAGTTTGGAAATCAATTTTTAGGATGTGAAATTAGTTTTGTTTAAGCAATGATTAATAAATCAAAACAAATTGTAACCATGATAGTGTAAGGCATAAATTATGTTGTATAAAATTCATTTCTAGTCTCCCACTCCATTTGAATATGGTCAAAATCAACAAAGACGGGTGTATGTCACTTTTATTTGGTAAATCATTTTAGGATGCATTAGCGTGTTCTTAGAGGTGGAACCATATTTCAATGTTTTCGAAAGGTGTATTAAAAAATTATATACACGCTTCATAGTGAGGCAAGGGTTCGGGGGTGGGGAATAAAGTGTGGCCCAAGTAAATGTAAATAATTTTTTGCATAAAATTAAAAATCTCAAACCTCACTTTTTTTCAAGATTCTAAAATGAAGTCTTTAAAAAAATTGTTGCTTTGAAACACCTATACACGTTTTTGCAATAAGTTAAAATGACACAAAATACACTACGAAATGCATTCAAATGGTAGATAAGATTGTCAATCAAAGCGGATAACTCCTTTTAAAATATGCATCTTGGAGTAATTCATGGTTAAATACTTTGTAACAATAGGAATATACGGAGTAACATCTACCACAAAAATTTCAATAATTTTTTTGTCTTAATTAAGGAACTATTCTCCATTGGTAATATAGCACTACTTTTTCCAAGGTAATACAATAACTATTAATAATAGATTTTTGATTTTCTCTTTGATATTTGTACAGGACATTATAGGTAAATGACATATTGATAACAATTTTTTCAACCTCATCATCAAATACACATGAATCTCTTACATTCGGCATAATCCATAACCCCAATCTAAAACCGTTTTTAACCAAATCGTACCTTAAAACCAAAGTCCTTATCCTGTTTGAA